CGAGTGGGAGGCATTTGCCCAGCATGCACTGGAACCTGGATGCCATCCACAGCAGCAGCAAGGCCGGCGACACCGAGAAGGGCTACATTTTGGGCCGTTTCCGGGTGTTCAGGACTTCCTGTCTCCCTCCGCTACATGTTCTGTACCCGGGTCAGTCATCAAATCTGAGAAGCTGAGGCTGGCGTGGTGCTCGGAGCTCCCGGCAGACGTGATCTGGAGTCGGAGGCACGAAGCTGCTTCCTCCTGAGAAACTGCTGAGGCTCCTGATGGAGACCCAGGACGGGACACGGACCGCAGCTGAGCGCCCTCTGGGCCACCGGCGGAGGGGACACGAGTGACACGGCGGATCGAGCCAAACATGTGGGACAACATGATGGATGAGCTGAGTCAAGAGACCTCAGCCCTCGCTCGGCCCTGCTGTTTGTCGAGTCTTGGTAACGCCCGGACCCGTGTGCCTCAGTTTCTCTGTACCTTGAGAATAGCATTCCTTGCCTGGTGCACCTGGAAAGTAGGCCGGCTATTAGTCCTGCCCACAGACCCATGCTCGGGTCTTCCTCAGCGAGAAATCCCTGCTTTCAGACTGAGCCTTTGCCACGCCCATAAAGACTGCGTTTCCCAGTAACTCCTAGCAGTAAGGAGAAATCAGGTGACTAGCTTTCAGTCCAGGAGCAACGAGGAAAAAGTGGTGTCGAGGTCTTCTCCGTAGGGAGAAGGGGCGGCCTTCTGCTGCCCGTCCTCTTTGTGATGGGTGGGAATGCTGTCATAATGGCTGGAACCCTAGCAGCCCCTAGGGCAGGACTTCACAAGTGGAAGAAGAAGAAGAAGAAAAGAATAAGAAGACTGGGGTTCCATCTCTAGTACTGTAAAAGAAAACAAAACAAGATTAGATTGCATTACAGATGCCTTGGACAGATTAAAGTTTTTCAACCTAAGCATTACTAACATTTTCGTGTCAGATAATTCTTTGTTATGGGGAGTCACCCTGTGGTTTTTTTTCCTCTTTGAGACAGGGTCTCGCTATGCAGATCACGTTGGTGTTGAGCTCACTTTGTAGCCCAGGGGCATCTCGAACTTGCAGTGATCCTGCTGCCCCAGCCTCCCGAGTGCTGGGATTATAGTCCCGCGCCACCAGGCCCCGTCATGTAGGGGGTCATGCTGCGCGTTGCAGGATGTCTAAAGCTTCCTGGCCTGTAGCCCTGTGTGCCAGCAGCACCTCGTCTCCTCTGGGGAGACAACTAAAAATGTCTCCAGAGAGTCTCATAGAGGGGTGAGTTACTGCCTTAGGCCAGTTCCATACAACAGGTGTACAACATAAGCCACAAGTGCAAGCCACACGCATGACTTTTAAAATAAAACAAACAGGTGAAAATATTTTTCATAGTATAATTAAGCTAATGCAGGAAAATATTACCATTTATATGATTGGTATAAAAATTACTGATGGGATGTCTTATTCTCTCTCTCTCTCTCTCTCTCTCTCTCTCTCTCTCCCTCCCTCCCCCCACCTGCAACTCTTTCTGTCCCTCTGTGGTAAGGTTTCCTAGCTGCTGTGCCAAGCGGGGTGTACTGGGCAGTGTCATGGTAGACACCGCAGTTTGAGGGCGTAAGCGCTGCTGAGCCTTCACATTCTGCTTCTTGTTACTCTTGGCACAATCCAGGGCTTGCTGAGGCAGGAAGCTCTCAGTAGCAGCAGGGCTCTGGAGTTGGCAGGGCAGGGCCTTCGGCAGCTCTCTGGCTGTCCCCAGCTCCACCCTCAGTGAAGATCCGGGGCTTAAGAGTACAGTGAGCACTGTCGTGCCCGGCCAAGCTGTCCCCTCCAGGCGGTGGTCGCACGTCCTCTGCAGGACACTGGCAGACAAGGCAGAGTCCTTGCCAGGACCCAGATGAATCTTTGGTCCTCTGTGGCCACAGCCCACCCTGCGTAAGGTGGACGTCCACGGGTGAAGGCAACACCTTTGTCTGCATTCCAGCCAGAGGAGAGGGCTGCACTGACCACAGGCAAACACCTCTGTGGCTTTGCAGCTGAGGTCCCCCTTCTGCCCCTGTCACCCTTGCACCCTAGCAGCTTGGATGCCAGAGCACCCAGTACTCTGGTTGCTCTCTCCACTGGCCAAGTCCAACCTCTGGTACAAGCTGTCCTTGACCTCCTGCTTGTCTGACAGGACCACCTCACTGCAAGCAGCCCCAGAGGACTCTTCCTGGTGGCTGACAGCAGCTGGGAGTCTTCTGGGACAGGCAAGAGGGGACAGGCCTCGGACTCGGGGTGGCTGGGGGGGAGTGGGGTGAGGGTGGGGGTGGAGGGGGTTGTGGCAGGAGTGCTGTGCTGCTGCCCCTGGGAGTCCTAGGCTGAAGTGTGGGAGCAGACACACATCTGATGACAGCAAATTAGCCCAGCACTGGGGAGGAAAGGAGCACAGGGCTTGGCACAGAAGCTGTTGGGAGCCAAAGAGTGTGGGCCGAATCCACAGGCCCAGCTTTGAGTCCCAGCTGTGGTACTCAGCCTCCAGAGCCTGTGTGCGTTTTTTGTTTTTTTTTGTTTTTTCATCTGCAAAGTGAGCTGATGTGCCTTCTCCATTTAGCACCTGGCCTGGCACAGAGTAAAAGTTGATAGTCCCACCATATGTGAATTGTGGACACTGGCAAGACAGAAAGAGGGGCTAGAAGGCCATCTCCTGCATGGCTGTCTTCTGTCTATCAGAATGAAAGTCCCAGAGAAAAGCCCCAGACAAAGCCACACTGGGCCCTATACTGAGAAGTCGTGGGCAGCAGTAGTTATTAGCAGCACAGGTGTGGCATGCTGTCTCTGGGCGCTGCTGAATTCTACTCTCAGGTAGGAGAGCCTAAGAGGAGGGAGAGGCAACGCTGTCCCCTCAGTCACCTGCACTCTGCAGGTGCAGACATCCTTGGCAGTGGGAAGCTAGTCGCCTGACCCGAATGAAGCCTCATCACCCGCACCGTACCAGTGGTCCAGAGGGCCCCTTGCATCACTTCCCCATTGGTATGAACCAAGCCGTCTCCCACTTTTGGAGTTGAAAACACCATCAGAGTTGCCCGCCAGGCTGCATCAGGGCAGGCTTGCCTCCCTGACAGGTTGGGGCCAGCCCATTCCCTGGGAGCACTGCTAGGGGCTGGTGTGGCTGGGCCTGGCTGTGTTCCCCTGCAGGTGGGGCATGGTGACTCTTGACAAGGTGGTTCAGAGGCCTGGCAGAGCTGGGGACAGGTTCCTGACATCTAATGGGCCAGCCCAGCTCTAAAACAGCATTACCTGCCTGGCATCATTTGGTCAGAGCAAGTCTTAGGCTGAGTCCTATTGTGGCATGGGGTTAGAAGTCATCTCTGAGGAGCACTGGGATAGTTTACCCCAGAGGGACCCCATTTTCGAACCCAGATACAGAGTAAACCCTGGTCTGAGTCCTCATCACGGCCGCTTCCCATCTTCTGTTCAGCTCTCTTCCTCCCCTGCCAAGCAAGGGCTTAATTTCCACCTACCTGTATCAGGGTCGTCTCTGGGCTCCAAAGCCCCCTCTATCCCCAGGACAGCCGACCCTTCCCTGGTCACAAGGCAGGGTAATAGCTGCCCCCTCTCTAAGTCTCTGTGGTTAGAGTGAAAGACTCCAGGAAGGGGCAGTGCACCAGCATGGCCCCAGGCCACTTCCTGTTTTACTGACGCAAGGTCTCGGGTCCCTGCCGGAAGCTCAGTGCTCAGCACATTTGTTAGGCAGCTCCCCTGGGGTTAACACCGGGGCAAAGGGTGGGAAGGAGGCAGAGGTGGGCGCACCAGGAATCCCGGGGCTAAGACTGCCCGTCAGCACTGATGCTGAGATAGCCACTGCAGCGTGGAGGTCCCTAAGAGATACAAGATGTCCTTGGGGCAGTAGGAGTCCTGGAGGGGTGGCCTGTGGGGGCTGTCTGCAGACTGCTCTTCACCGTGCCTTCCAGGGCAGAACACTGGAGGTCCTTGAGGGCTGCCAGTGGTGACCCGTGACCACTGAGAGCGGGGAGGGGCAGTGAGAGAGGGAGGAAGGGCTTTCACCCTTATCCAGGCCCAGGGAAGCTGGGAGCTACAGGCCTAGGTCCCAAGCGCAGAATGGCTGCCAACTCTGTGCCAGGTCCCGTGCTACGTGCTGGGGACCCGATATCCTGCTTCCTCCTAACCGACCCCGTTGGCTATGACACACTGGCCATGCCGCTGGCAGACAGATCTTTCCAAAAGGCAAACTGTGAACTCGACTGCTCTACACAAAATATGCTTGTAGTAAAATCTGGAGGGCGGAGAGAGGAAAGGGGTCCTAAGAAAAATGAAGTAGAGGGGCCCGGGAGATGGCTCAGTAGAATAGGCGCTTGCCTGGCTCAAGAGCATGAGTTCAATCCTGGGTTCCGCCAACAAACAAACAAAAAAACCCCCCAAAAAATCAGGCTCCAGCGCAAGGCCACTCTGATTACTCTCTTGAGGCACTCCTTTTTTAATGTTTATTTAAATATTTATTCTGGGCAGTTGGTGAGTTAAAGAGAGCGCAGGCCCTGCCCGCTCGGTGCTTACATTGCAAGCGGCAAAGGCAACCAGTACACAAGAAAATTTCAAAACGCTAGAATTTCAGTGTGAAATGCTAGGAGAAAAAGGAGCAAGGCAAAGCTTGTGCACGCCTGAGCCTGGACCGGATTCCCGGACATCCGAGCGTGTTCCCACTACTGAGACATCCTGGGGACCAGCCCGGGGCTCAGAGTAGGGCGCGCAGGGATGCGGGAGCAGGTGGGCTGCAGCGGAGGTCACCTGGGCTCCACCACGCCCCGCCGCGCCCCACCCTGCCGCTCCTCTGTCCCAGCGCCCTGGAGGGCGCTCGCTCCAGGAAAGGGCGCGCCGCGGCGCAGTCGGCCAGGTGCGCCGAGCCGGGAGCCGCCTTCCCGCCACGGTCCCTGGAGGCGGTCCGGCCACGGCCCCGCCCCCGGCCCGCACCGCCCATAAATGCACCGGGCCACGGAGCACCTCGGGTTCCCCGCGCGGCTCTCAGGTGACCGCGGTGTGCGCTGCCCGCGACTCCGCTGGTTGCCGCGGCTCGCCCGCGCTCGGAGCTCCAGCCATGCTGTTCTGGCACACGCAGCCCGAGCACTATAACCAGCACAACTCGGGCAGCTACCTGCGGTAAGGGCCCTGCGCCCCTCCAGCCGCCCCGGCCCGTTGGCGCGGCCCAGGGCGGGGTCGTGGCCGGGCGCCATCGGACACCTGGGCGTTGAGGGGGCGCCCTCGGGGGCCCTGCGTCCGGCTGAGCGCCCGAGGGGGAGGTAGAGGGAGACCCGCCCAGAGCCCCTCGGGGGATCCGATGGCTGAGCCCTGGGGACCTGACGCGCGGGGTGGGCGGCGGGGTCGGGAGGCCAGGTCGGGATCTGCGCCCGCGAGGACGCCTCCCCGACGGCTCCCGGGCACTCGCGCACCTGTGGGCCTCGGCCTCCAGAGGCGGCCCCCTTCCGTGTCTCTTCTCGCGCCCCTCTGTATGGGAACGAAGAGGAAACTTCTGCCATCCGTGCGGGGCTGCCCTGGGACGCTGTCCCCTGTCCTTCCCCCTCCCTCTTTGAGTCTCGCGTCTTGATTGCACCCTTCAGGGGCCGGCGACTGGGCTGGTGGTGGACCCGAGGCTCGGGTGGGGAGGCCGCCCAGCCCCAGGGGGTCTTGCTGTTTTTGCCGAGGCCAAAGCGTTTATGGCCCTTGGTGGAAATCTTTCTTCTTCTATAGGTACTTGACTGGTGCTCCTCAAAGGGAAATGTAAGTCCTGCCTGTTTTGCAAAGTTCTCTACAACCCCCTCTTAGAAAGGAGGACCCCCATTTGCTTCAGTTCCAGGAAGATTTTTCCCTTGTTGTGCAGCTGGCTGGTTACTAATGGGCAGTCATTTCACTTTCTGAACTCGCTGGAACCAGCTTTAGCCTGTCTTTATTTCTATCCTAGTCACAGTTTATTAAATGTCCCTAATTTAACCCAAAGGGCATTTGATGTGAGCTCAGGCAAGGTGAATCGCGAGACTGAAGGCGACTCAGGCACCTTCAGCCCCAAAGCCAGAGCTACCAACCCTTAGCGCTGCTTTTGGCTTCAAGAAGTTCCTGCTCCAGTTTAACATGATTGCAGGTTATCATCCCTGTCTAGGTGTCCTCCTCAAAGGACACCTAGTGCAGCCTTCTCCCCCTTCCAGAAAGCAGAAAAGTAGGTTTAACTGCTGCGTCAGCCGGGGCTTATTTACAGTGGTAGGAGATGGCAGAAAGTTGAGGGTCCTAAGGACTGTGGCCACCTCCCTACAGGCCCTGGCCCTGTCACCAAAGGGAAGCAGCTTTGGGAGCACCAGTCCCACTGAAAGGATGCTAATTTCTTGCAGAAGAATAAGGGTCTGCTCACTTACAAAAATACTACAATGCAATGTTCTCACTGAAGCGTGCATTGCAGTTTTGTCTGGATTTAGTTTGCAGCCAGTAAGTATCTTGACATGCCTTGAAAATGTCTCTGAAGGCGGCTTTGAATTGAAGATATGTATAGTATTTGCAACTTCCTAGAGACCTGAAGTGTCTCCTTAGGTAAGAATTGTGCTCTTGCCTGAGGTGCAGTTCTGACATTGGCTGCTGAGATGGACTTGTCTGTGGAGGAGCCCCAGTACCTTTTAGGGTTAGTTTTATGTGATGGGGAGAAGGCTGAAAACTGGGGGTGAAAGGTGCTAAAAAGTCATCCTAGCTGATGAAGGTCCATGGTCTTTTCTTTTGGGGTGCTGGGGACTGAATTGGACCTCATTCACTTAAGAAGTGGTAGGCCACTGAGCCCCATCTCCAGCCTTGCCTCTTTTTAAAGGTCTGAAAGTGGAATGCTGTGCTTGGCAAGGGCCCTTTCACTGAGCTGCAACTCCGGCTCTTGTAGCCCTAGCATTTTTTTTTTTTTTTATTATCTAATGTGATTTTATTTTATAGACTGATGGCAAAATTGTCGCTCTGGCCCTAGCATTTTCAAACCTCATTTGTTGCCGAGGGTTTTGCCTTCCCAGAGGTTGATCTTATGAAGGCCAAGTTGGGGGTCAGGGCCTATGTTGCTGATCCTCCAACTTGCAACAGGATCTTGTCCTTTTCCTTGGATTTTTTTTTCTTTTTCTTTTTGTATTTTTGGACTTTTAAAAGTATTTTGGGACATTTTTATTCTGTAGAACTTCTGCAAGTTGTGTGACCTCACCAGGGCAGTGGCCCTTACTCCCTTCTGTTTGATGTTCTGGTGCCTTTTATTCCTTGGCAAATAAGGATGTCAGGCTTGAAGCAAGTTGCTGTTGAGTAATGGTTCTTGTACTTTTTTTTTTTTTTTCGGAACCAGGGATTGAACTCAGGCCCTTGCGTTTGAGTAATGGTTCTTAACCTACGAAATTCCCATCCTCTTTTTTTTTTTTTTTAAATTTAAAGGCAGGGGTGTGTGGGTTCTTAAGTGAACATGGTCTAGACACAGATGAAATTATGCAGTCCCCAGGTGAGCAGGCCTGCCTGCTTCTACCATGTTCCTAGGTAACCACAAGCTCTGGAGAAAGGAAAAGGACAGGCCTGCTTTGGGGGAGCGGGGTCAGCCCCATACTGTCCTCTGTGGACAGCAGGTGGTGGCAGGGATGCTTGGAGGTAAGACTTTCCTGGTGCACCCAAAGCCAGGCGTCTGCTAAATCCTGGGTAGCTATTGCTGGGGTGTGTGTCGGCTTTGTGGCTCAAAGACACAAGTTTATGATGCGTTCAAGGGACAGACTGTGCCAGGGACTCTGTTTATACAGTAAAGTAAGGTCAGCTAATGTGCTGCAAACCTGGGGTCTAAGGAGGGAGGAAGATTATTGAACTAGAGCATGGCACTTTGGGGGCCTGTTACACTGCAGTGCTCACGATGTAGAGATCTTGAGTGAGCCTCTGCTGTGCACAGTTGGTCACTTTCCTCATGGGAGCTTTGGTGGGGTCATTGGAATTCCCAGCTACTCGTGAGGCTGAGGCAGAAGGATCTCTTGAACCCTGATGTTTGGGACCAGTCAGGTATCACAGGGAGACCCTGTCTCTTACAATGAAATACAGAAACAAATAATTCAGCTATGTGCTGATGGGAGGCTGATTTTATTTCGCTGTGTGGTGGGTTTTGCTTGGAGGTAGAAGAAAAGTATCTTTGAGAAACTGAAGATTTTTGCAAATTGACTTGAAACCCAGGTTCTCCCTCCTTTTTCTGCATTTTGGAGAGATCTCTGTGAGCCTTGCCACAGTAAGGATTTTGGGCCAGTTGTCCCCTTTTTAGAAGGGGCAGAGAAAGACCTCAACTTGAGTGAGGAAGCAAACAAGTTCTTTGTTTGCATGGGTTACAGTTCTGGGATGGAGTTTGAACTGGCCTGAGAAATGACTGGCTAATAGAAGAATTGACTGAAAAATAAACATTATTATTATTATTATTATTATTATTTTTAAATATTTATTTATTTTTATTTATTACATTTATTTATTGTGTGTGTGTGTGTGGCCAGCTCAGCCCACCAGGGGGCAGGTCTGGCTGGCATGTGGTGCTGGGGATCGAACCGCGGTCCCTGTGCTTTGCCAAGCTTGTTTCAAGTAGGTGCTTTAGACCACTGAGCCATCTCTCCAGCCCCACATTATTATTACTTATTATTGTGTGTTACTGGGATTGACCCAAAGCTTTCACACTGAGCTACATCCCTAATCTTTAATAGTTTTTTAAAAATTATTTGTTTATTTGGTACAGGGTCTCACTGTGCCCCTCAGACTCACAGTGATCCTTCTGTCTCAGCCTTCCTAGCGCTGGGATTACAGGCGTGTTCCACCACACTCAATTTTAGTGGCTGGCATATGGGGCCGACATGGCATGCGGTACCAGGAATTGAACCCGGGTCCTTGCACTTGCTAAGCAGGTGCTTAGACTGCCAACCCATCACCCCAGCCTTATAATTTTTTGAGATAGGTTCTCCATTAGGTATATGCCACCAAGACAGGCTAAAAGAATTACTGTTTGGATTATTATTCTAAAAGTAAGACTGTAGGCCATGGATATAACTCAGTGGCACAGCGCCTGCCTGGCAAAGGCAAGGTGCTGAGTTAGATTCCTGGTACAAATAAATAGTCTTTGTAAGTAGTCCTCTGTGGAGCAAAACCAAATGGCTTCAAAGGGCCACTTAATTGCTGCTAGTCTGTCCCTTATGGTTTCTGGAGATAGTAGACAACTGCAATTTTAACTCCTGGACTTGATTGAGTAGATCTCCCAAGAGCCACTGGGGGACCGTAGGACCCTGCAAGAGTGATTTCAAGCACCTTGGTGCTTGTGGCCGAGGGAGGGAGCCAGAGCCCAGGGGCAGCTGTGACTGACAGTGCTCGTGTCCTCAGCCTGCATGGCCTGCGGAGGGCTCCTGGGGCTGGCCCTGACTGCTGCCTCTGCTGTGTTGCAGGGATGTGCTCGCGCTGCCCATCTTCAAGCAGGAGGAGCCCCAGCTGTCCCCTGAGAACGGGGCCCGCCTGCCGCCCCTGCAGTATGTTTTGTGCGCCGCCACGTCACCGGCTGTGAAGCTGCACGAGGAGACCCTGACCTACCTCAACCAAGGTAGTGGCTGGAGCCCAGGCCAGGGGGCCCAGGTGTGGGACGAGGGTCCTGAGAATGGGGAGGTGGTGTGCAAGGCCCGATGGGACCGCCTTCCGTGTTCCAGAGGTTAAGGCTGGGAAGGAGTCCAGGCTTTGGTGTCAGACATGGATTCAGGTTTCCCAGCTGGGTGACCTTCTGCACCTCATTGTCTTCATCTGAAAAATGGAAATGTGGAAAGCCAGGCCTGGTGGCTCATGCCTGGTGTCCCAGCTACTCAGCAGGCTGAGGCAGGAGGATTGTGGGAGCCCAGGAGGAAGCCAAGAGGCGCCTGGGTGTCTCCAAAGAAAGGAAGCCGCCTTGTATTGAGTGCAGGCTAGTGAACTGCGGGCCTGCGTCCTTGCACTCCTGGAGTGGGTGCGGTCCCTGGGGGCTGCTCCTGCTGTGTGCCCTGGGCCTGCTGCTGGTGTCCTCAGGCAGAGGCTGAGCACCACCGGCTGAGTAGGTGTGCCAGGTGACAGGGGTGCCAGGAAGGCCAGCCGGTGTCCTTGCACACATTGGCTGTGTTGGTGGGGACGAGTTTGTTACCACAGCTTGGGAGGATGAGCTTTGGAACTTGAATTCCTGCTCTGATCCTTTGTGGCTCTGATTTCGAGTTCGTTGTCTTCTTTTTCCATGAGCGAAATGAGAAGTGTCATTTCTTGCAAAGTTTAAAAAGCGGAAGGTAAGTGACGCGCCTGGCTGGAGGCGGCTCTCCCGTTGTTGGTGCTCTGGTCAGGGCCCTTGGGCCATGTCCCAGTGGACCAAGTTTCTGTTGCAGCTGTGTCCATGTAACTTGGGTGCTTTTTCCTTCCCCAGGCGTCAAGGCCCTCCGTGCCGTGGTTTAACGAGGAGGCTCGGGAGCTATGGGCCCTGTGTGGGGAGGGTTGTGCGGGGTGGTATCTCCTCTGCTGCTGGCAGCCGCCTCCACTGTGGAACTTGGCCTCCTTTCGGGGAGCCGACGGGGCGGAAGTCCAGTGTGGTCAGAGGGCTCTGTCTGCTGCACTGGCCAGTGCCCGAGCCAGGAGACTCACTGGGGCTTTGCAGGTGGCTGTGGCCGGGCACATCATGCGGTCTCGCCCAGCTAAGTGGTTGGCATTGGTGCCCTCCTCCAGGGATGGTCCTGAGGTCAGGGCTTGTCACACAGGCTGGTCCCTTGGAAGCAGTGACCAGCCCAGTGTGACAGTGCTTCTGTGTCTGCGCTGTTTGTGCAGTGGCCCCTGCCCTTGTCGTTTTTCCTGTGGGGGTCTGCTACCTTCTGGGTCTCTGCCATCTTCCTTAACTGGAGCAAAGGAATTGGGTGATGTTTTCAGAGGCAGCCTGTCTGGTGCTCCAGGCACCTCCCATGATGCGGAGGTCTCTCTGTGCTGGTGGACGAAGGTCCTGGGTGTCTGTGGTCATCGCCTGCCCCTGCCCCCCATGTGTAAGGTCATCAGCTGTGTTCTCTACACCCCCCTCTTTTGTTTAGTTAGCCAACTTGGGACAGGGTTTGGCAGTCAGCATACGAGGTCTTTTAAAGAGGAGCTAGGACCTGAGCGTAGCACATTTGTGGACATGCTTTCCTAGATGTGTGCTGGTCTTGGTTCCATCCCACGACTACAAAATCAATGAATGAATACATTAATTATTCTTTTAATATAGTGAGAAGAGGGGAAAGTGGTACCTTTTGGTGTCATCATCCTGTGTTAATTTTATGTATTTGCTTTAGATTTATTTATGTATTTTCTTTTTCTTCCTTCCTTCTCTCTTTCTCTCTCTTTCTGTCTCTGTCTCTGTCTGTCTCTCTGCCTCTCTCTGTCTCTCTGTCTGTCTGTCTCTGTTTGTCTCTGTCTCTGTCTCTGTCTCTGTCTCTGTCTCTGTCTCTGTCTCTCTCTCTCTCTCTCTCTGTTTTCAGTCCTGGAATGAACCCAACGCCAGGCCAGCTCTCTACCCTCAAGCTATACCTCTAGCCCAGAAGTGTATTTAATAGAGCCAAGGCTGCCATTCCGGGCTGGCGTGTGGCTCAGTGGTAGAGCTCATGCAAGGCTCTGGGTTTCAGTGTTTGGAGATGCCTGTTTTCAAACTAGTTTAATAGTTTTTGAAGTTCCATTGAATGGTTTTTAAATTTTAACACTGAAATGCTTTAAGGATTTGTGGTACACTGTGAAAATCTAAGTTTCATTATTCTAAATAGCCAACCAATGAGTTACTGCCTAATTGATCCTTTTCTCACTGGTTTAAGACAACACTTTGAAACATTTAAAGACCTGTCTTGTGAAATATCAGGCCAGAAGGGGACTTTGTTCATTCTTCACCCATTTCTTGGGAAACCCCTTGTAGCTTGCACGTTCATTCTTCCGTTTGAGAGTACGAATCTCTTTAATCATTGTCTCGGCCATCTCCAGTCATTTCTTCTTGTCTTCTTCTTCCTCCCTTTTCTGGTGCTTGACATTGAACTTGGGGCTTGGGGCCATGTGCATGCTCAGCACCACACTGGGCCTCACGTAGACTGGACTTGTAGTGATTCTCCTGTAATCCTAAAGCGCTGGGATTACAGGTGTGCGCCACCAGACCCAGTCCCAATCGCTGTCTCAGTGTGCCCCATGGAAAGGCCCGGCAGGGCACTCCCGGACTTGAACCCCGGCCACTGGGCTCTGCCTAAGCAGGCACTTTAATCCCCTGAGCTATCAGGCCGGCCCTCTTGCTGTGCTTTTTCTTAACCATTGAGGAGGTTATATGTGTAATACAATTGTTTCTTGCTTTTATTAAATAATATTCTTATAATATCATTCCATTATTATTATTATTATTATTATTACTATTATTATTGTTGTGGTAGTGGGGATCGAACTCAGGACCTTGGGCTTGCCAGGCAGGCACTTATGCCACTGAGCTAACTCCCCAGCCCCTCCATTATTATTAACATCTTAGATATTTAAAATGTCTGTGTGCTTCACTATTTGTTCTTGTTATTGAGGAAAGAATATTGTCATAACTATAGGGAGAAAATATACAATATAATTATTTTAGCATCTGTCTCATGGAATAGAAGTTTTGTGAGGTCTAAGCCTCGTCCCACTTATAACATTGTAACCAGAATTAAGTTTGATGCATTAATAGTAGTAGATGCCCTAGAACTATCCAGAAAATTATAAAACTAGAAATGACTGGTTTTATTTTTTCTGTCTCTGTTTTTCTTTTGTCATTCCCAGTAATGTTATACTAGACATGTTTTTATTCTTAAAGTGCTAAGGATTGAACTCAGGGCCTTGCCGTTGCAAGGTAAGTGTTCTGCCGCTCAATTAGATCGTTTAAAAAAAAATTTTTTTTGATACTAGGATTGATTAAATTTTAAGTTTTAAAATATTTATTTATTTATTTTGTATTTTAGGGACAGGTCTACAGGGTGTTCAGGGTCTCACTACTAGACTGGACTCGTGGTGATCCACCTGCTCACAGCCTCCAAGAGCTGGGATTACAGGCATGTGCCACCACACCCAGTCTCATTGCCTGTCTCAGCACACCCCAGGAATGGGGCCGGCATGGCACGCTGGGAATTAAACCCTGGTGCTTGCATCTGCCTAAACAGGAGCTGTCTGGCAGGCCCTCAAAATAGTATTTTAAAAAAGTTGTTCTCTCTCTGTCTCTCTGTCTCTCCTCTCTCCCCTCCCCTCTCCTCCCTTCCCCTCTCCTCCCTTCCTTTCCTCCCTTCCCCTCCCCTCCCTTTCCCTTGTCTCTCTCCCTCCCCCCCCAGTGGAGCACCCAGGAGGCATGGGGCATTGTGTGGCCCAGTGCCCCTCTGGCCCACATCACCAAGACCCCTCAGCTTGGCATCAGAATGCAGCCTGCAGCAGTTAAGTTGCTCACATGTGGCAGGCATCCTGGGCAGGGCTCTCTGACTTCCTGCATCCTGCATAATGTCCCCATGTCAGTCTTTATGGGGGATTTGCTCCCAGACCTGGGAAAGGACAGTGAGTCTCTGTTCAGACATGGCCCTTGTGGGGGAAAGCCTGGCCTGACAGGGAGCCCTCCTGCAGCAGAGCCAGGTCCCAGAGCATCTCGTCTCCCCATCTGTTTAGAGGTTGTTTCCCTGGTCTCTTGATTTGGCTTTTAAATAAACCACAAATGGATCTTAGTGTGCTGCTCCATGGGGCCACTGGGCCAGGACGGGCACCGGCTCTGCAATCACCCTCTTAGCTCTGGTGAGACAGGTGCAGCCCACAGTGCTCTCAGGTAGGCCGGGTTCCCAGGCCTGTTTGCCTTGTGGCCTTACTTCCCTGGGGCTGATTTTAGAAAATCCTATTATTCTGTTTTCAAAGAGACACTTTAAAGGCCAATCCCTGAAGCCCACCACCCTCTGCGCTGGCCCTTTCGCTCCCAGCCCCTGTGCCCACACGATCCCACCTTGGCTCACTGCTGAGGATTCCTGCAGGGTACTGCTGGGAATTCATGTTTCTGTTCACAGTTTGAAAAACTTCACAACAATGAAAAGAAAACGAGAAGTAATCTCTGTGGTGTGTAGAGATCTCAAGGTGCAGAGTGGAGTGTATGATTGCTTCCGCAGTGACATGTTGGTCTGCCTGCCCCACTTATCCACGTCCTGAGGGCCACAGCGTGCAGCGGGAGGCACAGGCTACACCTCAGAGCAGGCCCCGCCTGCTCAGCTGCACAGGTCCGGTGCCCTCGGTGCCCTTGTGCTCTCAGCAGAAGCAGTGCAGGAGAAGCAGGAGCAGGGGCAGTGCTGTGTGGGACTTGAGGTGCCCTT